GGGGGCGGGGAGGGGGGGGCGTAGGGGAGGGGGGGGCGTTGGGGAGAGGGGCGTAGGGGAGGGGGGTAGGGGAAAGTAGGGGAGGGGGGGGGCGAGGGGGCGTAGAGGAGGGGCCGAGGGGAGGGGGCGAGGGGAGGGGGGGGTGGGCAAGGATGGGGAGGAGGGTAATGGGCAAGGAATAGGAACATAAGGAGTTCGTAATAGGCCGGTTGGCCTGTGCATGGCAGCTCCTGTCGAGAGTTACTACCACTCTCTATCATCCATGAATCTATCTAGCCTCCTTTTAAAACTTTCCAGCCTCCCAGCACCTACAAAGTTGCTAAGCTTGTTCCACTCATCTACCACCCTATTTATGAACCAGTTCCTTCCTATCTCCCTCCTAAACCTAAACTTATCCAACTTAAATCCGTTGCCACGAGTCTTATCCTGCTCGGATATTGTAAGAACTTATCTATATCCCCTTTATTGATTCTTTCACCCACTTAAATACTTCTATCATATCTCCCCGTACTCTTCGTCTTTTTAGGGAATGCAAGTTCAGTTTCTTTACTCTATCTTGATAGGGAAGGTTTCTAAGTCCCGGAATCATTTTCGTTATTCTTTGCTGCACCGCCACTCCAGTGAATTGATATCCATTCTATAATAAGGGCACCAGAACTGAACAGCATAATGGAGGTGCGGCCTGACTAGCGCAAGATATAGTTGCAATAAGACCTCTGCACTCTTATTGCTTACACTTCTAGATATAAAACCCAATACTCTGTTTGCCTTATTTCGAACATTAACGCACTGTTTTCTAGGCCGTAGGTCCGGGCTTATGGGTACCCCTAAGTCTCTTTCACAAGTCGACTTCTCTAGGTTGATGCTGTTAAGGCTGTATACATTGACAGTATTTGTTCTTCCAATATTAAGTACGCTGCACTTGCTGGTGTTGAATTTCATTTGCCATTTTACTGACCACTCCTGCAGTTCATTTAAACCCCCCTGTAGAGCATTTGCATCCTGCCCTAAATTAATCTGCTGCCCTATTTTGGTGTCATCCGCAAACTTGCTTATGTCACTGCTGATCCCAGTACCTAAGTCGTTTATGCAGATTATGAATAAGAGTGGGCCCAGTACTGACCCCTGGGGAACCCCACTGGTTACACAGCCCCGCTCAGATTTAACACCATCTATCAGTAAGCCATGATTTTATCCAATTTAAAACTTTCCCTCGATACCATGAGCCTTAACTTTTCTCAGAAGCCTCTGATGCGGTACTCTGCCAAATGCTTTGCTACAGTCTAAGTAAATAACATCGTAATTTTCGTCATTATCTACTACCTCATAGACTTTCCTAAAAAACATCAGCAGATTTGTTAGACAAGATTTTCCCTTTGTAAATCCATGTTGAGAGTCGTAGATTAATTGGTTTTTCCCTAAATGCGATCGGATGCTATAATTGATTCAAGAAATTTCCCCACTACTGACGTCAAACTGATCGGCCGGTAATTTGACGCTGATGCTTTGTCACCCTTTTTGAATATGGGTACTACATTTGCCTGTTTCCACAAGTCTGGCACAACTCCCGTGTCTAATGATTTTGTAAAACAATTTGCGAGGGGTCCGCTAATCTGTTCCTTACACCCTTTCAAAACTCGAGGGAAAATTTCATCCGGCCCTGGGGATTTTGTCTTCTTTAATTTATTTATCTTCTGATAGTGATATTCTTTAACTTCCCTTCTTCATTTCCCCCAAATATCAGTTCCACCTCTGGCAGTTCCTCGTGAATTTCTTCTGTGAAAACTGATAAGAAGAAGCTGTTTAATGCTTTATTTATTTCCTCACTATCATCGATCACTTTAAAGGCCCCACTTTGTCCTTGACCATTGTCCTATATAGAGATGGGATGAGGAGTAAAGATGGGAGTAAGGAAGGGAGAAAAGGAGGGGGAAGGAGTCACACACACACACACACACACACACACACACACACACACACACACACACACAGGCGCTAGTGTTCGCCAGGCAGTGACTGTGTTAGGGAGGTAGAGTCATTTATCTCTGGCAGGTAATGTGTCTTTGCTGGGCCCATCCTACACGGATCGTCTGTCTGTCTGTCTGTGTTTGTTTTCTGTCTGTGTTTGCTTGTGTTTTCTATCTGTCTGGGTTTGTTTGATGTCTGTCTATCTAGGAACCCATAAGTCTGTATGTCTGTCTATTTTGTAATCTAATTCGTCTGTCTGTCTGTCTTAGTTGTGAATGTCATCCACCATTCTAGTAAGGTTAAGTCAGGTCAGATTAGGTCAGGTCATATGAGGTACGGTTCAGGTCAGGTAAGGCCATGCCAGATTAGGTCAGGTTAGGCCTATCAAGTCTAGTCAGGTCATATTAGGTATTATCAGGTCAGCTAAGGTCGTGTCGGGTTAGGTCAGATCAGGTCAGGTCTGGTCAGGTCACGAAATGTAGATAACTTAATCGAGTGACATCATTATCCAGGTAATTAATTTATAAATTAAGGCCAGCAGGTAGTTGTTGATTAACCTGTCAAGTTCTTAATATATTTCTAATCAGTCGAAGAAATATTATTTTTTTATTTTTGTAGCCAATTTCTATTTGTTAATTATGATTATTAGATTTGCATATATTTTTCTGGTTTTAAATTCACACACACACACACACACACCCACGCCAGAGCTGAGGACTATCTACAACGCATTTATTCTCCCCAAACTAACGTATGCATCAGCAGCCTGGTCGTCTTTTCTCAATTCTACCCAACAACGTCAGCTAGAGAAGGTATAGAAGAAGGCCTGCAGAATCATGCTCGGCGCAGAATACTCCGGCTACAACAACGCTCTCTCCACCCTGGTAATGCCATCCCTCAGTGACCTCCACCACCACGCACTAGCAGGGTTTGGCAGTGGACTACTGCACTATCCTCGGCATCGCCACCTACTACCACCTGCAGTCCCCCGCCCACCTCGCGCAGTCCACCACTACAACAAAATTCAGCCCATAAGAGCCCGCACCGATAGATATAAGAACAGCACCATCCCATCTATTGTTAAAATAATAAACAACTCCTGATTTATGTACTGTACAGACCTGTAAATGTATTGAACGTATGTTATTATGTCTAAATCACATGTAAGTTTGCATATTTTCAACCACCGGCTGCAACTCTATTAATATACCGTTTATTATTATTATTATTATTATTATTATTATTATTATTACACACACACAACACCACACACTTTTTGCTCACACACATACCCCAACACCCTCCCCCCACACACATAATAGCTCTCCCTCCCCCTACACACACGCACACAATGATAAGAAACTTTCCGACAGTTCTAAATAATAGCTTGTGAAAGTTCTAATTACCGGAGACGATAAGTGGACTGAGTTAATTACAGACAGCTAGTTTTTTCACGCATTCTCAGGGACGGTATAACCAGCCGTCTGTGAGGAATTGTCTGTGCCAAAACACTCGTCTGTATACCCCGACTCGAGGTTGTGAAGGGAAGGATTTGGGCTAACCTTAAACCCCTTTAATTATTATGGCTTAACCCCTTGAGTACGATGGTTTAATCCTTTGAATACGATGGCTTAATCTCTTGAGTACGATGGCTTAATCCTTTGAGTACGATGGTTTAACCCCTTGAGTACGATGGCCTAACCCCTTGAGTACGATGAATTGTACCCGGCAGGAGATTGAGGGGTGGTTTAACCCTTTGAGTCCTGGAGGGTTAAACCATAATGCTTAAAGGGTTAAATCGTGGTTCTCTAAAGTGTTAAATTATCATCATCAAAGACTTAAACCACCATTGTCAGAGAATTAAACCATCATCGTCAAAGTATTAAACCATTGTCATCAAAGTTAAACCACCATTGTCAGAGAATTAAACCATCATCGTCAAAAGGTTTGTTCATTGTACTCAAGAGGTCACCGTACTCAGGAAGCCTCATAGATCAAATGCAATCACAGTCTAGCATGTTGCACGCACTCTGCCCCCAACTACCACTGTCAGCTATGAAGGGTTTAATCACTACGGAGACTGACCTAACCTGACCTGACCTGACCTGACCTAACCTAACCTAACCTAACCTAACCTGACCTAACCTGACCTAACCTAACCTAATTTTATATACTAATTAAAGGCCCCGAATCGACATACCTGAGGAGAGGGGGTGTGGGGGGTGAGGGGAGAAGTGTGAGGGTGGTGGGTGAGGGGTGAGGGTGGTGGGGGGGAGAGAAGGGAGGAGTGAGGGGGGGGTGAGGGTTGAGGGGTGGTGATAGGGAGTGAGTGAGGGGGGTGAGGGGTGGGTGATGGGGTGAAGGGGGGGTAGTTTCTCAGGTATGACACGTTAAGTATGCGGTACATACAGTCCTCCACCTGATGTAGTATGTTAGGTTAGGTCAGGTCAGGTCAGGTCAGGTCATTGGTATGTTAAATTAGATTAGGTTAGGTTAGTGTTAGGGTATCTAATCATCAGGTAAACTTCACCTGATCCATTTTTTTCAATTTTTTAGAAAACTGTAAAGAGACTAGAGACACGGAGAGACACAGAGACACGAGATGATAAAATATAATTAACAATTGTATGATAATTGATAATATAATTGATGGAGAAGTAAAGTAATTGATAAGGTAATCAACGAAGATAATTCATGAAAAAAGTGTAGTAATTAATCAGCTAATTAATGCAGAAGTGAAATAAACTGATCAGGTAATTAAGTGACTAATTACCCCAGACAGGTGACACAGGTAAAATTGTCAGGTGTTAATAAGACTCGAATAGACAAAAGGAGATTAGATTAATTTTTGTCTCAATTCTTCTTAAATTTTTCATATTTTAATTATTCTTTGTATTTTTCGTTTATTAAGATATGAATGAAAAAAAACGATATGGGAGAGAGAGAGAGAGAGAGAGAGAGAGAGAGAGAGAGAGAGAGAGAGAGAGAGAGAGAGAGAGAGAGAGAGAGAGAGAGAGAGAGATCACACTCACCTGTAAGACGTCATGTTTCAATAAGATGTATCTCTTATCGGGGGAAACATCGAACTCTTCAACGTTTAGACGGCGCTGGAAGGAGAGCAAGAGAACAGAGTGTGAGACCAGGTGCATATATACCTGTGTGGGGGTGTCAGGTGTATTCATAGTAATATACCTGTGTGGGGGTGTCAGGTGTATTCATAGTAATATACCTGTGTTGGGGGTCAGGTGTATTCATAGTAATATACCTGTATGCTAGTGTCAGGTATTCATAGTAATATACCTGTGGTGGGGTGTCAGGTGTATTCATAGTAATATACCTGTGTTGGGGGGTCAGTGTATCTGCTAGTAATATGCCTTGTGTTAGTCAGGTGTATTCATAGTAATATACCTGTGTTGGGGTCAGATGTATTCATAGTAATATACCTGTGTTAGTGTCAGGTGTATTCATAGTAATATACCTGTGTGGGGGGTGTCAGGTGTATTCATAGTAATATACCTTGTGTTGGGGGTCAGGTGCATTCATAGTAATATACCTTGTGTTGGGGGTCAGGTGTATTCATAGTAATATACCTGTGTTGTAACAGTATTCATATAATATACCTGTGTGGGGGGGGGGGTCGATGTATTCATAGTAATATACCTGTGTGTGTCAGTGGCCCATAGTAATATACATGTGTTAAATGTGTATTCAGTAATATACCTGTGTTGGGGGTCAGGTATTCATAGTAATGTACCTGGTGTTGGGTGTCAGTATTCAGTAATATACCTGTGTTAAAATAGTGCATTCATAGCAATATACCTGTAAGTTGGGTGTCAGGTGTATTCATAGTAATATACCTGTGTGGGGTGTCAGGTGTATTCATAGTAATATACCTGTGTGGGGTGTCAGGTGTATTCATAGTAATATACCTGTGTGGGGTGTCAGGTGTATTCATAGTAATATACCTGTGTGGGGTGTCAGGTGTGTTCATAGTAATATACCTGTGTGGGGTGTCAGGTGTATTCATAGTAATATACCTGTGTTGGGTGTCAGGTGTATTCATAGTAATCTTCACAACTCAGGACCTGTTTTTGTTGTTATTAATGAAGTCAAGTTGCCTTTACGAAAATCTGAGAGGAATAATGTACATCTGAGACACCCTGTATACAGTATATTTATGTATTCTTTTATGCCTGTGTTGTTTGAGGCATACATATGTATATTTATGTTTATATACGTGTGATACAAACGTGTGTTAAACTAAGTAATTTGCATGTATGTACAAACATATGTGTACGCATACTTACGCACATAAGTATACACAAAAATGCACATATTTATTCGTACACAGATGCCAACATGGCCATAAACACACTCTCTCTGTCTCTCACGCACTCTTCCTCTCTCTCATACACTCATTCTCTCTCCCACACTCACCCTCTCTCTCTCCCAGACACTCACAAACAAACACACTCTCCCGTCTCTCACAAACGCACACACTTTCACACACTCTCCCAGCCGTCACAACACCATAAAACGTTCATAAACTTTAATTAATTTACTTACTTAAAAAGACCAAATTTCCGGCTGAAACAGAATTACGATTTTGGGATGATAACATTGTACCAATTTTAACCAATTTTTACTCCTTTTTTTTTTACCAATTATTACGAGTTTTGGTCAATGTTTATGAGTTATGGCCAATGTTTATGATTTTTTGCCAATTTTTATGATTTTGGGAAAATTTTTTTTCGATTTTTGGCCAATTTATACGAGTTTTGACCAATTTTGGCCAATTTTGATAATTTTCTCAAGTCGGTGACCAACATTTTAACAAATTCTTCACCACTTAATAATAACTTACACACACACAGCCAATCAACTTAAGTACACTTCCAGTTACTAGATTAAGTTTACTTATAAAAGAACACGAATTAATTGGGTTACTTATGACGCTCAATTTCGGTGTTTCCATTTTCTATTTCCGGCGGAGATTAATTTCTGTCTACATATAATTTCCTCTGACGAAATTGCTACAAGAAATTCCTCTTCCCTGGAGATTTGTCTGTCTGTCTGTCTCTCTGCCTGTCTGTTTGTATGTCTGTCTGCCTGTCTGTCTGTCTGCCTGTCTGTCTGTAGGTCTGTATCTCTGTCTGTCTCTGTCTTTCTTTCTCTCTCTATAATTATACACCTCCTGTTTATTTATCTCTATCTCTTTTCCTCAAATTAAAGTTTAATCTCTCACTTTTTCTTCTCTCTCTCTCTCTCTCATTTTTCTTCTCTCTCTCTCTCTCTCACTTTTTCTTCTTTCTCTCTCTCATTTTTCTTCTCTCTCTCATTTTTCTTCTCTCTCTATCTCTCACTTTTTCTTCTCTCTCTCTCTCATTTTTCTTCTCTCTCTCTCTCTCACTTTTTCTTCTCTCTCTCTCACTTTTTCTTCTCTCTCTATCTCAAGCCTTTTCATCCTTCCTAAATATCACTAACTTTCCCTATAAGTTACCAGTGGGTGGAGGGGTAGTGGGTGGAGGGGTAGGGTGAGGGGTAGGGGAGGGTAGTAGTGGGGTGAGGGGTAGTAGGGTGGAGGGTAGTAGGGTGAGGGGTAGTAGGAGGGTAGTGGGTGAGGGGTAGGGTGGGAGGGTAGTAGGGTGGAGGGGTAGTAGTGGGGTGGAGGGGTAGGGGTGGGAGGGTAGTAGTGGTGGGAGGATAGGGTGGGAGGGGTAGTAGGGTGGAAGGGTGGGTGGTGGAGGGGTAGGGGGGAGGGGTAGTAGTGGGTGAAGGGTGGGTAGTGGGTGGGAGGGGTAGTAGTGGGGTGAGGGGTGAGGGGGGAGGGTAGTAGGGTGGAGGGGTAGTAGTGGGTGGAGGGGTAGGGGTGGGAGTGGGTAGGGGTAGGGTGGTAGGTAGGGTGGGGGGGTAGTAGGTGGAGGGGTGGGTGGGTGGGTAGGGGGGAGGGGTAGTAGTGGGTGGAGTGGGTGGTAGTGGGTGGGGGAGGGGTAGTAGTGGGGTGAGGGGTAGGGTGGGGGAGGGGTAGTGGGTGGAGGGGTGGAGGGGTGGTAGGGGTGGGAGGGGTAGGGTGGGGTGGGAGGGGTGGTAGGGGTGTAGGGGTGGGTAGGGGTGGAGGGGTAGTAGTGGTGGGAGGGGTAGTAGGGGTGGGTAGGGGTAGGAGGGGTAGTAGGGGTGGGAGGGGTAGGGGTGGAGGGTAGTAGGGGTAGGGGGTGGTAGTAGGGTAGGGTAGGGTGGAGTGGTAGTGGGTGGAGGGTAGTAGTGGGTGAGGGGTAGTAGTGGGTGGAGGGGTAGTGGGTAGGGGTGGGTGGAGGGGGGGTAGGGTGGGGGGAGGGGTAGGGGGAGGGGTAGTAGGGGTGGAGGGGTAGTGGGTGGAGGGGTGGTGGAGGGGTAGTAGTGGGGGGTAGGGGGTGGGTGAGGGGTAGGGGTGGGAGGGGTAGGGTGGGGGTGGGGGGTAGGGGTAGGGTGGCTGGAGGGGTAGTAGTGGGTGGAGGGGTAGTGGGTGGAGGGTGCTGGAGGGGTAGTGGGTGGAGGGGTAGTAGTGGGTGGAGGGGTAGTAGCGGATGGAGGGGTAGTGAAGGGGTTAAGCGCCATTACCTTCCCCACCTTTATATCAGTACTCATAATGGCGCAGGTGACGGTGTACAGGTAGCGATATACGTCACTATAACGGGGTATTACTACGTTTGCTGCTACGAGTATAGTGGCTCATAACTACGCCACTATATTATGATTATTATTATTATTATTATTATTATTATTATTATTATTATTATTATTATTATTATTATTACTGTTATTATTATTACTATTATTATTATTATTACCCCCTTAACGAATAAGTCAATCACCTAACTATTCTGCTTCCGAGAATCCTGCAAACAGCCAGTCAGTCCAGTTGACCTTTGGCCTGGCACAGAGGTCAGAGGTCACGGTTATCGGTCATGAAAATGTAATAGAGTTTAGGGGGGGTGTGGGGGGGGTCATGGTGGGGGTGGGTGTGTGTGGTGGGTGGGTGTGTGGGTGGTGTGTGGGTCAGGGGTGGGTGGGGCTCGGTGGGCCAGACAGTGTTTATTATAGTTTGGGGTTAACTCTGAAGAAACAGGAATACGTCTTGAATATTGATCCGTGTGTGTGTGTGTGTGTGTGTGTGTGTGTGTGTGTGTGTGTGTGTGTGTGTGTTGTTTCTCTTATCTATTTATCTGTCTATCTGAGAGGGAGAGGGGAGACGGGGAGATAGGAAAGAGGGAGGAAAAGGTGGAAGTGGGAAGGAGGGGAAGGGAAGTAGGAGGAGGAGGAGGAAGATAAAAGAAGAGGAAGAGGGAGGGTGGGAGGAAGGGAGGAGGAAGAGGAAGAGGAGTTAGGGAGGGAGGAAGGGGGAGAGAAGGAGGGAAGGAAGAAGAAGAAAAAGAGGAAGGGAGGAGGAGGAGGAGGGGGGGGGGAGGGAAGTCAGTACTGGCGCCACTCAACAGGTGTAAACTCTGTTATTAAATTCTAAGGAGGAGAAAGACAACAGGGAATTCCATTCTCTCTCTCTCTCTATTACCGTCTCTGATTCTCACTCTAACTCTTTTCTCTATTTAACTTTCTTTATCTACATCTATCACACTCTCTCGGGATAATTCTCTCACTCTCGACCTATTTACTTAATTTCTGTCTCTTTCTCTGTCTCTTTCTCTGTCTCTCACTCTCTTTCTTTCACTTGACATATAACTCATGAAACTTGAAAATGCTGCGATAAATTGACCTCGTTTATCTGGACTGACCTGGAGAAAGAGAGAGAGAGAGAGAGAGAGAGAGAGAGAGAGAGAGAGAGAGAGAGAGAGAGAGAGAGAGAGAGTTTTGAATAAAAATGTGAAAATGTGACTTTCACGAGGTCATACGATCAGTCTCTCTCTCTCTCTCTCTCTCTTGTGCCATTGTGTCTCTTTCTCTTTTTCTCTCAAATTATGTCTCTCATACATTTTATCCCTCCGCACACACACACACACACACACACACACACACACACACACACACACACACACACACACACACACACACCCTATAATAATAATCAAAATCATAAATAACAAACCAGCGATATATTACACTCTGCTTCTTCCCT